TTTTAGTTCAGATGACAATAATTCAATGCCTACTGAGAATAATGTAGCGGCCAATGAAGAGGATACTGTCTCATTTATTGATAAATATCAGCTTCTAGTTCATTCTCCATCTGCTTTTCAACCTGCACCTGTATCTACTACTTCCACCTCATCATCAATGCCGTTTAGTATGGATGGGACAAGTTATGATTCAGAAGACACTGACTATTCCAGTGGCACTCATCCAGTGACATCTGATGAAGTATTGTATATGACCCCAGATTTTGAGATCTTATCACATTTCCACCCCACTACAATAGCTGTTGATGCAATATATGAGAGCAAGGAAGTGCTGGAATACCACTTAAAAAACAACCGATAATCGTTGATAAAAGTTATATCTTGCTCCTTTAGGTGTTTCTTTCAAAATGTACAACATACACATCTATCATCGTCGACGTTCACCCGACAGTCTCGACAATTTTACGGTGCGCCACTTTACAAAGTCTAAGCGTCCATCGCAAAGATGAGTAATACAACGATTCACAAGAATCTGATTTCACCCCTTTTATTGTCGAAAGATTTTTGTGTTAGTGGTGTTTATACTGTTATACGACATTTTTATTTATGTGTTTTTAGTATTTACACTTCAATCCCATGTATGACTTTGAACATCAATGTCCTGTTGATGTTAGACAGGGTAAGACTCGCCAGGCTACTTCTTCAGTTGTTGCTAAGCTTATCAAACATCAGTTCAATGATGCTACGCAGAAGCCGTATCCTCCTAAGTCCATAATATCAGACATGCGTAGGGACCATGGAATTTTTATGAATTATAAGAAAGCATGGTTTGCGAAAGAAAAGGCTTTGAAATTAAGTTTTGGATCAGATGAAGAGTCATATGCAATGCTGCCATCTATGTGTTATATGCTAAAAAATTCAAATCCAGGTTCCACCATTGAGCTTAACACCTTTGATAATGGGTTCTTTAAGTATTTCTTCATGTCTCTATGTGCTTGGAAAGATGGATGGGCTCACTGCATTCTAGTTTTGATTATTGATGGGTCATTCATGAAGTCATACTATAAAGGCACGCTTCTAACCGCTGTTGCACAGGATGGGAACAAACAAATATTCCCACTGGCCTTTGTCATTTGTGATGCTGAAGACACTGCAAATTGGAGGTGGTTTTTAAAAAAGGTTAAAGAGGTCCTTGTAGCTCAAGAAGTGAAGTATATTGTGTCTGACCGCCATGATGGCATTATAAGTGCTGTGCAATCTGTTTTCCCAAACGTTATGCATGGACATTGTATATATCACATTCTTGGTAACATTAAGACGTCATTACGTGGCTTTGCAAAAGCTGTTACATGGAAGTTTATTCGTGCTGCAAAGGCTGCAACTGTTCGTGAACGAAATTGGTATATGAAATTGTTAGATGAGGAGGATCCAGCCATTCAGCCATATCTAGCACGCATTGGATTTTCGAAGTGGTTTCGGGCAGAATCAGCAAACAATCGATACTCAATCATGACATCAAACAACGCTGAGTCAATGAACAGTGTTGATGCTTCAGCCCGCGAGTATCCCATTGCACAACTTATTGATTTCATAATTGTGAGGATGCAAAATGGTTCCATGAACGGAGAACCTTGGCTAATTCTACGTCATCTATTCTGAAAGGCATTATGAAGCAAAGTTGAATGAGCTACATGCTTCGTCTGCAGTCATGAGTGTACGTCTCACAAGGCATTATATTCTACTGCCACAATGCATTTTCTTATGACTATATGTTTTTCATACTTTGACTATCAAGAATTTTTTTTTCAGGTTCGCCCATCGTGTGAGTATGAGTTCCAAGTTTTGGACACCAATGGAAGGGCTTTTGTAGTTAATCTTCGGTCCAAGACTTGTACTTGTTGTGAGTTCCAGATCGATCACTTCGTATGTGTTCATGCTGTTGCAGCTATTCGTGCACGCCCAAGTGTTTCATGCTATGGGTTTATATCAAAATACTACACTACTTCTGAGTGGATTGCAGCATATGAAGGCATTATACACCCATTGGCTAGTAGAGACAGTTGGGTTGTTCCAGAGGTTGTGTCGGGTATTTTGTGTAGACCTCCCTCGTGTTCTAAACGCCCACCTGGAAGACCCAAGAAGCGGCGAATTCCATCCAGGGGTGAGACTACGAGCAGGCAATGTTGCTCCCGGTGTACAATGCCTGGACATAATAAAAAAACCTGCACCAACCCCCTTTCTATCCGTCGCACATAAGTCTTTATGCAAGAGTACCTTTTTTTGGAATGGAGCTTATGTTTCTTTCTAATTCATGAACATTTCAAGTCCTTTTGTATTGTCTTTTTGAAATTGATTCTAATATCATGTCATTTCGCTCTTTTCTTTAGCTCGGTTGTTTTTACTTTTCATTTGTGTTGAATGCCATGATATTCATGTGTTTGTAGAATGGGTCATTCTGTTTTCCTGTAAATTCTGTTAGATAATAGCAAATATAAAAATATAACCAAAGTCCTAAAGTATTTTCAATGATACCCCCCTCCCCCTCCTTCTCCTGCCTTTGCTTTCTAGCCCGGGTTTGAGTGCTGTCCTCAAGAACATGACGCTGTAGGGATTGCCATTCTTTGATAAAAGTATTTCATTAGTATCAGCCAAAGAGAGATTTAAAGAGATTCCATGTGTTTAAAAGATTTTGTTTGCTCGTGCCAGCATTACAACGCTAGATTCTCTTGACATTGAATGGTTTGAGTGTGTCATTGATAAAAGTTATTTGTTGGAAGAAGTGATTCTGTCATTGATAAAAGTTTACTCACGTGTTTAAAGGTTACTTGTTTACTCCCCTTTTAAAAAAAAGTTTCATCAAATACTGTGCCCCAATTTTATCCAAAAAAGTAATGTGATTACTTCAATCACCAACCATATTACAAGATTCTGTCTAAAAAGCATTGATAGTGCACTTACAACCCATATTA